TTCAGACATTTCAAAAAACGACAAATCACTTTTTACGTGCTTACAAACAGACGCTTATCTCAAACACTAATGACTATTTTGACGTGTACCTTGGCGCATTCTGTCACTGACAGAATTGCCAACTTCAAAATAAATTCGGTTGTCCCTATCGGAAACCCCGGAAAATTTAAATTTGAAATTATCGATACTTTTTGCCCACAGTAGTAAATCATAAAGAGTATAAATGAGATCATTATCTATTTAAAAAATATAAATTTAGTACATTTTGAAGAACGTAAAAGCTGTGTTAGTCTTATATAAGCGCTAGATTTTTATTATTTTATACATACTTTGTCATATTATATTTCCCTAATTGCACAGTAAAATGTACACTTTAAATTTGCATAAAACTATCCAGGAATTTATCACCGCTGATAGGAATACATTTAAAAAATTTTAAATGATAAAAAATTAGATAATTTTAAATAAGATTATCTTTGATAATTTCTAATTACGTATAAGCACGCGATTATTTATTATTGCTTGAAAAGAGGGTTGTCGGTTACAGTTGATTTCATTGGTGGATTTGATCCTCCATTTTGGTAAGTCCGCTTAATCATGTTCATCAATTGCACGCCATATATATTTGTCTATCTTTTGGCACGAGTAAATAATTTTATATTATAATCATGAAGCTATAGAATGTAAATATAGTTTGAATATATATGTAGCGATGTAAAACTTTTTGCATCTTGAGATTTGTAATTTGTACTTATTATTATTGTTATTGTTATTATTATTATTATTATTACCATATATTATTCAAATAGCGTTTCTTTATCTTCGCATGAACGGAATGGTGTTGTGTCTTAATACAATACAGTTTAATTTTTACTTTCTTTAGCCAAGAAAATTGCAAATATATAATAATTATAAAAGCACAGCAAAATTAAGCAGACTATGCCATGTAGAACCAAATGTTACAACCGAAGATTTCAAGATAAGATATATTTATTCTTCATGAAATGTTAGAGAAAAAACATGTTTGACAGTAATATAATGACATTTTTGGCATTACTTGTCACGTATTCGCTTCTTCGATGAATTCGTTAATGCATTGCTTATTTCCGATTCGTCGTTAGCGGATTTCATCTAATGTGATGGATTCTTGGATGATATTTCAGTTGACTTTGTTGGAGGTGATGACTTTGGGTTGGCAGGCCACACACCGTTGCATCCTATGTACGTTAGCTACTCGGCTCTTCCACCACCTGCCTACTCCCTCAAAAATTCCGCTCAAAATAATTACCCGACCAGCACAGCTAGCTCTCACCAATCTGCCTATCGCGAGTCGAGTTTTCCAAAACGCAGCGGCGAGAAGCTGTTAGGCGGTGGTACCGCGCGCGGTAAAAGCAACGTCGTCGGTTTCAAGAACGACACGGTCCGTAGTAACAGCAGTCGTTCGTCCAGCCGCGATTTTCAGAATGTAGATTACTCGGTCGACTACTTGAACCCGGTGGACCATTTGCAGCGACCCGTCTCGCCCGTATACGACGAATATGATTCGTTGGACAGCGCCGCTAAGCTGAGATTTCAGAAAAACAGGCTGTACTATTTGCATTCATCGAGATACAGTCCGGTCGCGCGTATCAAGTGCCGCCAGGTCGCGGCGAAGCAAACCAGGATTCCCGTCAAACCCCGCGTCTTCGTCGATCATGTACGCGACCAACCACTGAGATCGTTTTACTCCGATCCGAAATTGGCCGTTGAACAAGCACCGAGCGAACACGACAGGTCATCTCAGTCGAAACGAGACAGTCGACCATTGTCCCTGTACGCGAGTAACTTCTGAAACGGGATCTTCCGCTTTTATACACGATTGCTTAAAGTACTTGTGTTAAAATTGATGACACTTTCTTTAAGTACGAGTGGCAGATAAAATTACCCGCGCAAGCTCTTGTCTTTTGCTCTCTTATAGCGAGAAGAGTAACGAAAGTTAGTTTACACACAAACTTCTATACTACCGCGTATGGCGTCCACTCGTGCGGTACGTGTAATATTATAATTCCTATACTTGCCAAATAGATAGAACAATTAGTGTAACTATAGCCCTTAGATGCCTTCTCCTTTAGCAATTTTCGATCTAAATTATGAATTGTGTGTTGTTACATAACGTGCTGCTACATACTATTTATTGATGGTGTTCTTTGTACTTTGCATCGAAATAATCGACTAATGTCGAACTGTGTGTTCAATAACGTTTGTTCGTTTGTACGAGCAATTAACGCAGTGTGACTTACCTACTAATTCATAAATGTTGCATATTTATATTTGGGATAATTTGGAATAATTATTCTCCGCTCTCTTCATCACTTAATACATACAAATAAATAATTAAGTTAAGATTAATATCAATGTGCTGTAATGGTGCAAGATAGAATTAATTTTGTTGATAATACTATCTCCAATGATCATCTTCATGCTAGTAAGATTAATGGAGAGTGTGAGAAGCTAGAGAAGAAATTAAACTAATTTAGATACATTTATTTGTATAGAAAGAGGAATGAAGTTAAGAGGAGTTAAACGTGAGTCATCTTGTATATGATTCACTTACACATACTGTTCGTGCTCTACGCATAAATGATACGTCTTGGTATATTTACTGTGATATGTATATAAACTGTGTTAAGATCATTTATCGAAATATTTATCGTTTTATAAATGTACGAATTTGATTAGCGATATCTTGAAAATTGCATTGGAAGACTTTGATGCACACTACGTAGAGAAAAGTATTGGCAAAATACAGCATGACTAGAACGTATTACCTAGGCGTGAAATATATAGCTATAGCTTTACCAGTTTTTTAAATTTACGCGAGAAATCTTGACAGTTGACGGAAGATACATTATGTTTTGCTGTAATATTATTTCTAGATTCTTCTTAAATCGAGATTAATACATTTCTATTATACAGAACTCTGTTGTACGCTACGTGTGCACATGAATGAATAAGAACTTTAAACTGGTACTCTGAAACGATTAGACTGCATTTAATTAGTTTATTTTACAGATCAGTTATAGGTCATTGACCCAGTGCTATGAAGAGTTTTTTTTTATTGTAGAATATTTAAAAAAAACTTAAACGGGGAAGCGGCATGTTATGATTTCCCTTTGTTTAGTAGTGCATGTAGTAGGTGTGGTTTCTTCTTTTTTTGTATTTTTAGTTTAGCAGAGTCAAGTATTTTATTACCTGAAAGTCTTTGCACTCGTTTTCATAGAAAGTATCTAAGTGTATAGATTTCTCTATTATGTATGAACTTAATTGAGATTTCTTTACGTATACAATTTCAGATATTCTTTTTGGCAGTATAGTTATAAAAGAACCTTATCTGTTTTGTGACATTTCACATGTGAATGACTGATTTTTTTGCGTTATATTATAATTTAATAAGAAATTTGAAGTGACATCACGAAAAATATATTTTTAGCGGATTATATTAGCTTTTGACGTAAAGAGTAGTATGTAGTTAAATACCGATCATAAAAAAAGACTGCTAAGTGAAAAATAGGTCTTAAAGCAGCTTAAATTCTATGTATGAAAAGCAAATTATATATTTACATAAATTAAATACTTTATTTTATCGAATATAACGAATGTGTTATATGTAATACTGTTTATCTTTGATTTGAAATACACAATATTTTATTTATACAGCATAATGGTAGAGATAAAGATCATGTTATTTATATGTGTAATATTGTACATACTTATTTTTGCGTAGAACTTACATAAAAAAATTAGATAATAAAATTTATTTATTAGATAAAGAATATTACTATTGCCTTTAAATGACTATTTATTTATTAAATATGAAATATATTAGTGTTCCTTTTTATTTAGAATCTGAAAAAGATTCAAATGAAGAGAACGTGTTGAGTACGATGCAAAGTTTTTTTGTCACTTCAGATTTAATATTTCTAATCAAGTACAGTCTCTATCGAGCATCTCTCAAGTTTGTACAGAATATTTATATTTTTTTAAGTACGTCATATAATCAATTTTGTATTTAACCACTGTATCTATTATTTACTTTGGCGCAGTTAATTGGGAACAATAAATATGCAACGTCGCTATTCGCTTGCTTTTTTATTTATTAACCCTTCACTTTTCTTTCTTTTCCTTTTCTAACAATTTCCTACTGTGCGGTTTTTTGGGTACTTTTTTTCATTTTTTCTACATTTCTTAGTTGTTACATTTTTGGTTCTAAATATTTAGCATCTTTTAAAAATTGTTGAGATATATTTTAAAGTAATTACTATTTTTTGCAGGAAAAAACCATTTTGATTAAAGAAAATTAATTATTATCAATACAATTATTTACTGAAAAGATATGGATATAAGAATCGCAGTTTTAGAATGCAAATACAATTAATTGCAATAAAAAGAAAATAAAATAATACGACTTAGTTATAGAAATAAACAAGATCGTTATGGATTGTCTTAAACAAAATGATAAATTCCATTTCTCTTTTTG